GATTATCGTCATTATTAAATTATTTATAATTAGACTAGTTAATTTTTTTAAGTAAACTATTAAGATTAATTCCATTGAATAATTTTCAAGATTTATTTGTATAATTTTCATATGAATTTTTTCATCTAATTTTCTTCATATTTTTGTCAAATATTAAACTTCTAATATGACTATTTTATAGACATTATCTTCGACTCTTCACCTCTGAAATCCTAATTCCGCCATTGATCACAAGTCTTCTTAACCAACAACTTTTCTTTTCTTTTCTTTCTTTCTTTCTCCTTTTTTACCATCAAAACCGTGTCTCTCTATCCTATTGCAGCGACCACCAATGGTTTGCACCTCCCATTCTCTTTCTTTTCCTCCTTTCTTTCTTTATCTTCCTTTTCTTCATGGGTAGATGGGTTTCTATTTCCAAATTTACACTTCCTTCTCAAATGTTTGATTGAAATGTGGATGCTGTTTCAATTCTAAAATATTTTGTTTGAGAAAAAATAAAGGATAGAATGAGGTCTAGTAAATCACTCTATCATCAAAATCTTTCAAAGGTCTTAATCGAAGTTAATGAAGAAGGAGTTGATAATAAAACTGAATTTACTCAAAATTAGTTAATTATAGTTAATCACTCAAAAATAAGGTTTTTTTTAAAATGTATATAATTTCAGTAACCTTTCCTCTCTTTTTTTTCTATTGTATTTGAATAATTTTTGTTGGGTTCAATTAAATTAGTAAGGTATTATTTTTTTAGATTATAATGTTGCTTAATTTTTTCTAAGATAATTTCTTTTGAAAATGAATAGTAAAAAATATTTTTTATAAGACAATCTAAACAATCGGAAATATTATCCATAGTTTATTCAAATAATAAAAAATATTAAATTTTTCAACAAACTATTTTTCACGTAAAAAATTTTCCTTCATCAACTTATTTTACAATTACCAAACAGACCCTAAAGAATAGTGTTACAAGCTAATAGAATTCCTACTAATTTAAATTCATTAGGCAAGAACAATCTTAGGAAGCCTATCTCATTAGTGAACAGTGCCATTTCCACTTCACAACCAAAATAGAATGAAGATGCCACTATCAACACCGTGTCTTTCTAAGAATTTGATACATAAACTCATGTTAGTTATCAATGAGCAAGCAACAAGCTTCGATGGTGATCCTCCTTCATCAAACACTCACCAGTAGACTGCCTCACTAGAAAATTCAACACTAAATGGTATGATTACGAACTCATTTTGCTTAAATGCACAAAATACAATGATTGATGAGCCAGTGAACATAAATGCTTATGTTATTAATCATAGTTAGTGAATCATTGATACTAATGCGTCATCTCATATATCCTATTGTTTGAATTCCTTTGCATACATTGAACCAGTTCATAACATGTTTGTGCAAATGCCTAACAGTACTAGGACTTTAGTCACAAACATAGGGATAGTTAGATTGATACCCTTTTTAACCTTACAAAATATGCTTTGTGTTCCATCTTTCAAGTTCAATTTAATTTTTGTTAGTAAGCTCACACAAACTAAGCAAAATTACATTGTGTTCATCAATTCACATTTCATAATTAAGGAAATCAACTCATATTTTGATATTTGACATTTTAGGGCTTTTTTGGCCTTTTTTTTTAGTTTAAAAATTATTATGAAATTCTTATAAAAAATAGCTTTTAAAATTAAGTTAAAATTATTTGATAAATTTACTTTTATAAGTTTTTTTTAGATAAACTATTTGAGAAAACAACTTATATAAGTTCTAATTTTAGTTAAAATTATTATAAAAGATAATGTTGGGATTATTTTTAATAGATGACTTTTTGAAAAAAAATATTCTCTTGAAAAATTAGTGTGTTTTTAAAATAATAGAAGAGAAAGCTCATTTTTAAAGTTTTTCTTGACACTCTTTTTTTTTGGATTTTGTTTTTTTTAAAGAATTATTTTTTAAAAAAATTTCTCAAAATCCTATTTAGTCCGACTTTTATATTTAAGATATAAATAAGTTGAAAAAAAAAAAACAGATCAAATAGGCACTTAGTCTAGAACATACTTCATTGGCTACAATATAAGTAATTCAACAAAATTATCCAAGTATTTCATGTGAAATATGCCCTTTGGCTAAGAAGGAAAGACTATAGTTTCTTATTCACATTCAATCTACAAGTATGCCTACCTTTCAAAAAAAAACAAAAAATCTACAAGGATGCCTTTTGAATTGTTGCATATGAACATATGGAGACCATATTCAATACCTACTATCAATGGTCATCACTATTTTCCTAATTGTTGGGCATCAATATTTAAAATTTACCTGAACTTTCTTAATGAAGGCAAAATCAGATATTATCTTAATAGTGCCTTCATTTTGTAACAAGATAAAGAACCAATTCAATATAAACTCAAACAGAACAAGTTAGATAATGGACTTGAATTCAATTTAATAGAGTTTTATTCTTCAAAAGATATAATTCACCAACTTTAAGTTTTCTCAATAGAAAGAAGAAGGGGAAGTCAAATACATTTGTTCGAATATAAAATACATATCTTTATTATTTAATTCAATACATGAATGTAATTATTAGAAAACTTCAAAATATTTTGACTATTTATTATAGATAGTTTAATATTATTGATATGTATTTATTTATGTAATCTTATTAATGTATTGATTTATTTATTTTTTTAATACAATTATATGTAGAAAACAAAAAGAATTGGCTTATTTTGGAAATAGATTGGACCATGCAAAAATTAGATCATAATTAATTAATCTT